ACACTTGGCGAATAAAGGCTGATTCTGATTCTGATTCTGATTAACTGGCTTGTGTGATTGTTTCCAAGTTTGTTAAGGATGTAGTCAGTCCAATAATCCATCACTGAGCTATAATGATTTGAACTAAGACAGAGACATGGAGAGATGCAGTGTAATAGCTGAAATGCGACAGACTGTGGTTCTCTGTGGGAATCTATACAGGCTTTACAGGAATTTGAACATCTAGCCCAGAAGAAGAGAACAGTTGACCTGGACCCCTCTGTTCAGCCAGCTGTTACCTTGGTGTTGAAGCCCATGGCATTCTGGGAGGTCTTGTAAAGCTCGGGGTACTTCAGCATGTTCTCCTTCTGGCAGCAGCGCTCGAATATGCCCAGAGTCAGGGGGGGAAGGGCGGTGAAGAGCTGCCGGGGAAACAACGGATCAGAGGCCTCGCAATGTCACCATTCACCCCACCCTGACAGCGCAGGCCGCTGTTATCTTCTGTTTATCCAATGTGTCCCCACCCTGCTGCCTAGAACAGGCAACCCCTGGCCAGGATAAGTGGTCAAGAAACAGACAGAAGAGAATGTTACATTCTCACTAGAACACATTTCATTTGAGATCATGAAAAATATTGGAATCAAATATGCTGCCTACATGTATCTTTTTTACAGTGGTGGTACTACACTGGCGTTTTACCTCCGGTTTCCAGCAACATCAGGGTATGTAGCTCAGTGGTAGAACAAGTGCTTTGGCATGTAGGAAACCCTGGGTTCGATACTCGGCATTTCCATTTTCAGGTGGTGTGTGGCTCTACAGATTAGACCTCTGACCCAGGGGTGGCCAATCTTATCCAGAAAGTGCTGCTGTGTATGCAGGTTTTTGCTGCAACTCCCTAATTTGATTACTAATTAGAGGACTGATTGGCTGAAGAGTCCTCACACCTGGGTTTGAACAGCTGACCCACAGGTTATCACAAAAACCCGCATACACACTGGCCCATTGTGGATAAGATAGGCCACCCCTGCTCTATCCGGAAGGTTGCTGGGTCTGATCCCATGGCTGGAAGAGTAATCATATCACCATCGGGCCCTTAACCCCAACTGGGGGGGGGGGAGTTGTTCAACAAAGCAGGATTTCTCAGTTAGCTGGGTTGCCTTAAGCTTGAAGTCATAATTGTCCAATAGGAATTCTCCTTACCTAAACTCTTATTGGACAATCATCATTTCTAGCTTAAGTTAACCCAGCTAACTTCGAAACTTTGTAGAACCCCCTCCTGCTCCAGAGATGCCAGATAAATGGGTCACGCTTTGCTGAAGGGACATGTGATGACTGAATATTATTTTTCGCTTGACAATGAAGGCATTCTTCTTAGCAGAAAACATGTTAGATGAGTGAACTTCTGAAAAACCATCCATATTTCCATGAGCTCACTAGGTACTAAAATATGACATTTGGCAATGACAACTAGTAATTATTTGCTAAGTTACAATAGTCATTAAGTAGAGTCACCAAGGGGACACGTCAGCCCGCTGGTGTATGAGGGACTCACCACATTGTAAAGGCCAATGCACCAACGCTCAAACAGGATCTGACCCGAGAAGCCATTGACGAAGGCAAACCAGATCTGGGGGGGAGAAAGCGATTTGGACGTGAGTAGGGAGCTGGAACGACAGGAGCATCAGCACTATCATACAGGAGCGCCTGTTTTCCTTCACTGATGGCTTGTGATGGGGGGGGGGGCGATGATAATCAGGCACATTAGCACCCGGACCTTCACTCGGTCACGATTAGCTCATCCTCCTGAGGCACAAGCAAACCGCCAAGCCTTCTCTTTATGTGACAACACATATGTCAGGAGGGCGCAGTGAGAGGCAACCGGCACAGTGCACAGACGTGTCACGTCCAGCTTTCCTGAACAATGTCGATCCCGGTTAACAGGGGAGGGAGGGGGAGTGACAGACTTGACATCCTTTCTGATAAACTTCAGAAAGCACCACGTGGCACCACAAATATTACTTAGAATGATATGCGAAGAAAGACATCCATGAGAAGCTAAAAGATACTGATGATGTGCAGGTCAACCTAACCTTCCATAAAAGCAGAGTCTGAGTGGATTGGACAGGACAGTGCTACATGATGACACAGAAAATATGGTTGTAGAAGACTTCTGATCCATGCCGTAACATCGTCTACGAGTCGACTCGAGGATTAGAACACATGATTCATCAAACAGCCTGTCTCGCTCTAGACTTCCTTGGCTCGACTCTATGACTGTTCAAATGCACAAACTGTGAGCAATGAGGTATCACACTCCGCTTCGGGGAACGTCGTGGATCAGAGCCCTCTGGATCGTCCACACCGAAAAAAGTGCAATAGCTTTGATGAAAGGACAGCAAAATGAGCTGCCACATTTAAACCATATGCAATGGGATTTTTGTTAGCATGCTACACCAAGGTTAATAATATTATCTGTGTAGAAATTCAGCCATCTTGTAAACATGACACAATAGTGTGTGTGGATGTCTATATGTATATCAGACCAAATGATACCATGTGTGTGTGTGTGTGTGTGTGTGTGTGTGTGTGTGTGTGTGTGTGTGTGTGTGTGTGTGTGTGTGTGTATCTATATGTCTGTGGATTCTGTATATATTACATTGTGGAGCCCAAATGAAATACCAAATGTCCCCACAATGTGAAACAAACCTGTTGTTTTGACCTTGTGGCAGGGAAATGTGGTTTGGTTTGCAATGACCCCCCCCATCTAAGATTTATTATTGCTAGAGGACTGGAGAGATGTGAGAAACTCCTTTTACAGTCCTTAAATGTCACACTCTGATGTTACACTGGTTTTTCATCGTATATTAAAAACCACCACTACTAAAAACTAAATGAATATCACCGAAAAGGTATATTGTTCCTAAAATCAGTGTTGGGCCATGAAATATGCTACAGGGAATAGGCTTCAGCCCAAAGTGCACGAGCACCAGGACATTTTAAAAGGCAAGAGGAGTGGCTGGAATTCAAGTTTGGCCAAATGAGTGATATTTCAGAGGGTCCCGGAATCATCTTTAGCTACACTGGTTCTTGCAGCAGTAAAGCGGTAAAGTTTCCACTTGTCGGCATATTTACACCAGGTCCATGTTTGATACATCACCCTTTCTTGGACCTTTCAGGTGCTTTGTGGTAAAATGCAGCTGTATGCAGTTTAATAAAGGACTTCAGTCTTCCTCTCTGTTCATGTTTCTTTATGTTGGCCGTTTTTAAAATTGCTCTGCTAATTAAAAGCAGCTGAGTTTGTCGTGTTATGTTCATTCGGACCGGAGTAAGACCTATTAGGACAAGGCCAGAGTGCTATTATTGAAACAAGTGGCAAAGGTGTTTATTTACCCAAAGGGTTTTACCATTGGCTATCTCCTCCCCTGCAAAACCTTGTTTCCACCCACCTCTACCTGAACAGCCAATAAATTCCAAACATTTTGGGGCATGACTTTAGTGTCATATTTTGCTGTGCAAAAAGAGGCCACTGGGGGCATGATGCAAAGAGAGGCATCACAGCAATGCAAATATTGACACAGAAAGCATTCTGGCTGTAGAAAGCAAATGAAACAAAGCGGAATCCTAGACATTTCAGCCATTTTTAAGACCACAAAAAGAGGACATGTCTGGAGAAAAAGAGGACGCATGGTGAGCCTGAACAGTAGTGGCTATAATCACAAAACAGCCTGATGTGTGAAACCACAGAAAAGCAGGCAACACTTGGTAATCACGCAGTCCAAGATGGTTACTTCTCTGATTTAACTGGAATGTCAAGCCCTGAGACACTACAGCCTAGTGTAGCTTAGCTGTACAGCCCGATCTGAGAGGAGGGCTTTGCTCTCCAGAAACACATTAGGAGCAACAGAGCATGAGTGCTTTTGAGTGGCTATTCTGTTCTAACTTCTTGAAGTCCACATGATTACAGGCAGTATGGAGCATTCAAAGATTAGCTGGATTACCGCCCAACATGTCATTAAGGCCTTTACTTAACAATAGGGCAGCGTTCTGTGAGGGGTTTCAGCCAATAGTACTTGTCAAACCCATGAAGATGTAGATAGCATGCATGGAGGGGAGAACAGCTGGCAGTCGTGTTGAACTTCTAAAGCTGCCACCTGTTTGAAGAGTTGAGACTTGCGTAAAGGCTTCAGGGGGGTCAGGGGTTACGGCTGATTTCTAATCAGCGGAGAAACTAAATAAGCAAGGAAAAATTCACACAAGAGGATACAAAGACTTCAAAAGCTTACATGTTTATGTCTGCTGGCTTGACGTTTGGCATCCAGTTATGCAACTACTCCTCTGATATTTCTAGGATTTGTGTGTGTGTGTGTGTGTGCGCGTGTGTGCGAGCGGGTTTACCTATCCTTATGGGGACATAATGTCCCCATAACGTGATAAATATCCGTTTTTTTTTTTTTTTAACTCTATTTTATAAAAATCGGTGACTGCTATGAAAAAACTAAAAATGCAAAAACTCTTGTATTTTGTTAGGTTAATTATGGTTAGGGCTGGGTAGGGGTTAAGGTTGTCATAGTTAGCGTTAACATTTTTCCCATTGAAATGAATGAGTGGTCCCCATAAGGATATGTATACCCTACATGTGCGTGCATGTGTGTGTGTCTTCCTTAGTCTCTGCAGAGCTGCTGAAAGGTTACACTGGCAACGGTTCTCTTCTGTTGTCTGCTGCAGAGAGCTCAGTGTAGCATTTGACCCAGATGAAGATATTTCAAAAAGCAGAGGCCCATCTGCTTCTTTAATACCCAGGTCTGTTAAATCACCTCATTGTTCATTCTAGTAAAATGGAACAATGAAGAAAAAATTACTCCCACTCCTAGAATATGCATTCTGTTATTAACAGCAACTAGATAAGCTTCAGGCATTTAATTTCAGAAAAATTTGTCAAGGTTTTCCTGACACAACTCTACACCCAGTGTTCCGCTTCCAGTCTAATTGGTGAATTCTCTTCAGTTGCTTTACCACCTTAGCTACTGTGTGGTGAGGGGACCGGTGCAGAATGGCTGCCATCTTATCGTCCAGGTGGGTTCTACACAGAGGTGCTGACTGAAGAGGCTCCCCATTGGTTCTGCAAAGCGCTTTGTGTGTCTTGAAACGCGCTTCATCAAGGTTCAAGGTTACTTTATTTGTCACATGCACAGATGTACAGGTACAACATGCAGTGAAATGAAATTTGTCCCGATCATAAATGTAACATTGGTAAGCAGGCTCCATAACTTCCCTTCGACCCCCCAGAAGCACACATAGTCCACTTGTTGAGGGTTCAGGTCCCATTTAAAAGCTTTTAAACCCCCATTAAAGAATGAGGGTAATTACATATCACTAATTAGGATTAGAGTGTCAGATTGTGGCGCTTGAGCCGGGTGCTGATGGATGTCCTACCTCGATGATGTAGAGGACGATGTTCTTGTAGAAGCAGTACAGGATACACTTGGCAACCCGATTGTAGTTCCAGGCCCCATGAACTAGAAGAAGATTCTTCAGGTACTTGAACTATAAAGCAGGAAGAGTAAGGGGTGGGTGGGGGGGGGGGGGGGGTCAAAGGAATCCGAAAGAATAAAGTTACTTTGCATGAGATAATCATATCAAAACAGAGCAAAAGCATGGATTCAGATAAGCAAATACCCTTGCTAACTTTAAAGGGAAATATTGAATAAAAGATATCACTCCCCAACTTCAATGGATGAACTGCCTGGGTCTTGAGCTAATTAATACATTATGACAACGATACCAGGAATTCCAGCAACTCTTAAGGAGAGATAAGCAGTGCCCGGAACAGGAGGGTGTCGTATTGCTGATACAGGCCTAACCAAAAAAGTCAAAGTACAGAAACAAGATATATTTTAATAACCTTGTACATGCTTCTTAAACTGAAATAATGTTCTAAAACCAAATGCAAAATGAGTTTTAGGTGGAAACATATTGAAATTCATCACATATGAAAGGTTCAAATGGATACAAGGTGTTTGTGAAGGCTATTGGTATAATAACATCACAGAACAAATCCTTCCCACCGATAAAAAGGTTTTTTGTCCCAAACAAAATGCTTGAAGTGAAAATTCACTAAAATGTTACATGAGGATCCATTTATATTGGCTTTCCGCATTAAGCTGTACACAGAAAGTCCAGCGAATGTGAAATCATTTTAAGAAACAAAAAGAATAAAGAAAGTGAAGAAAATAACTAGGTTTTTAAGACTTAGGAGGTGATTTAGTGTACCCTAGGATGGTTTAAAGATGATGGCAAAATCAATCTGCTGGTGCTCGCTCCCTTCCCAGATAACATTTTCTCTTGCTCACACATGAAGTTCTGTCCCTCGTTTGATGCTGATCCAGGGGGGAGCTGCTAACGGCAGCCCTTCAGCCAACACCCATACTATACATCTGCTGGGCCTCTGGGAAATCGGGGGGGATGGGCCTTCCTTGGGCTACTGTCTGCTAGCCCAGGAGAGGCCTCAAGCTACCAGTACCTTCAATACTGGCACAGATGCGTCAATAAGGCTCGGTACAAGGTGGCCACACAGAGGAGAGTAAATAGGATGATTTATTGTGGAGCAGCTGCAATGAAGATTCACTGCACAGGCCTGGTTCTTCACTAAGCTAGAAGCGTAACTGTTCATTGAGTTGGATGGAATTTTGGGATGAATCCTACTGGGGTCTATGACTTGGCTGAGGAGGAAATCAGTGTGGGCTGACCCAGGGGGCCCCTGCTGCGGGCCAGTGAAATGAATACACTCTGCAATGGAGGGAAAGAGCTTCAAGTCGCTTAGGATCAGGCTAATATGGGGAACTGATTTGGTGAGGAGAAGCCCACTGAGATAAGCCACTGCATGAGGTAAGCGACGGGGGTGTGGAAGGTCCTGCAAAGGGCCGAATGAACCACTCGGAGGTTACGGAGAACAGCGAGGGACAGAACCACCCAATGCCGCAGTCTCGGGGAAGCACACACTCAAATCACTTATCCGTGGGCTCAAGGAAAGTCTTAATGGAGCCCAGAAAAACAGCCATTACATGCAAAAGCACTTTAAGATTCCCACAAACTTCAGTCAGCAGCACCGATGAGAAGAATCTAAGGAATTAGTTAAGTCTGAATGCAAACTGACGTAAGTATGCACGCAAAATTACGGCAATTGCATTTAATAAATGTTAAATGCCTTGAAGCCAGCTAAAAGTTTTGTCCATATTTTAACGATTTGCATAGATTTAGCAGAATCAGGCCCATTCAGGAATCCCTGATAGATGGAAGGATCAAATCACCGCCTGCTGTCAGAGTGCTCTGGTCCTACAGCTCCACGGAATGTGCTGCTATAATAACACACAAGTGGGCAGTTATCGAGCTGCACCAGCTGCCGCATATGGAGGGGATCCCTCGCTGCCCACCTGAGCGATGGAGTAATCAGAGGAGTTAGCTGCCTGCAGGCCCTCGTTGCCCGAGATTCCCACGCCCACGTGGGCCGTCTGTATCATGCCCACGTCGTTGGCACCATCCCCGATGGCCAGCGTTATCACCCGCACCTGCTTCTTCACCATCTCCACCACCTCAGACTTCTGAAGCGGCGACACCCTGTGGGGGAGAAGTGTAAAAGCAGGCTGTTATAGATCAGAAACAAAGTAACTTAACAGAAACACCATCCTGGAGGGAGGTATTAGTATCAATATGCTCATGTCTTCATATTTGAGGTCATGACAATGAGCCGATATGGCTATGGTACCAGGTAATGACGTATCTATATCATTAACGAGCAAAATCAATGGAGTAATATATGTGATGTGGAGGCGCTTCGGAGTTAACAATGAAATCCTAAGCACTGCAGACTGCAGACTGCAAACTGCGCTGTCCTAAAATATCAAGAGGTACCAAATCAGGCTCATATAATGCTATTAATGTAATTAAGCATCTAAAAACTAAACATAAGAAAGGATATGATGAAATTTCCACCAGAAGCAACACCCCTGCAACAACCAAATGTGCAGCAAATACGAGTATGCAGAAAGTGTCAAACGATAAACCATGTGCAGTGAACATAACAGAAGCTCTTACCCGGTATCAGTCAGGCACAATGTGGAAATGGTGGCACGTGGAGAGCGTAATTCTTTCTGAATGTTGGCACGCGGAGAGCGTAATACTTTCTGGATGTTGGTACGCGGAGAGCGTAATTCTTTCTGGATGTTGGTACGCGGAGAGCGTAATTCTTTCTGAATGTTGGCACGCGGAGAGCGTAATTCTTTCTGAGGCGGTACGTGGAGAGCGTAATACCTTCTGAGGTGGTATGCAGTATAGAGGTATAGAGGCTTTGGAGGTTTTTGAGTGACATGTTTTTAAATTGTAAGTAACCAATCCTTTGTTTCCCACAAAGACTAAAAATGATGATGTATGTGTGTGTGTGTATGTATGTGTGTGTGTGTGTGTGTGTGTGTGTGCATGCGCATGTGGTACAGAAGACATCAGATTCATCCAAAAGACAGAAAGATGATGACAGCAGAATGATGTTGCCTGTCAGGCCTCTAATGTTTATATAGCCATTGAGGAAGATTACACAACATCGGCGATTATTCTGCAGTATCAATATGGAAGGTTTATCATAAATCAAACACGGTAGGCTGGAAATCCACCTCTGTCCAGGAAACGTGTTTTGATGGGTCAGACTGGACAGCGTCCAGAGCAAAAGGCAGTGGGGGGGGTATGTTTCATTATGGTGATGAGAATTGTGTCTTACTCTGGGGTGGGGGGGATTTGTAATTTGGTCACATGTGACCACCCTGGAGTCCTGGGGATCGCTGGGGCACCTCAGACTTGTCAGCACCAATCAGAATCTCGGGGGGCGTCTGGCTCTCGCCACGCTGCTGAGGCGCTCCGTGCCGTAACCGAGAAGCGGAGGCACTGAATGGGCGCATTTATCTGCTAGTAATGCGAAATGGGACCAGAACATATAATGCATGAAATGAATGGGGGAAGGGAACTTAACCAGACTGCCATTCTGAACCTGATTACAAGGCAAACATAAGATACATGTAGGTCTGGGTAGGTCAGGCCAGGCGTGTTCAGCCCTGATCCAGAAGCTGATTGGCCCCTGAAGTGCCCCCTCCTCGCCACTCACCCATTCAAATGATATGATTGGTTAATGATTCTGTATGAATTATGGCCCCTCTTATGCCTCCCCACCTCCTAGAAAAATCCTAGAATTGCCCCTGAGATCACCTGCAGCAGATGACCGCCTTGCAGGACAGCGCCAGGTCCAGGAAGTACTGGCGCACCCCGAAGGTCAGCGCGTACTTCAAGGTCTTGCCGTCGATGATGAGGGCGAAGTCGTTCTCCTTGCGCAGGGCGTCTCCCAGCATGCTGCAGTGGCGGCTCAGGGCCTCCCTGGTGCCCTGCGGCCGGGCGGGAAGCATGTGGGGGGGGGGAGCAAGTCTTATACTCTACAGTACTGCAGTGACAATAATACTATGCAAAAGCACAGGGAAGGGAAAAACATTCTCCTTGAAAATCACTTCAGTCAGTAGAATTTCAAGCCTCTGCAGAGCAGTGCTTAGAGTTTCACACTTTTTCCTCAAAGGAGCACAAAACAGCATGTTATTCACTGGATCTGTGCAGTTCCTGTACAACACACACATACAGTGCTCACAGAAAGTCTTGGGATGCTTTATTAATTCTGGAAAAATGCTGCTAATTTATTGCTTTTACATCTTCCACAAAGATTTTTTCTTTTTATTCTGTTTTTGTCATTTTGCTATTAATTGCAATTATAGTCACTGGCTCCCAAAAGGATACTAAACACAAATGTTTGGTGTTTTATGTTGTTGCAAATGTGTTACTAATTAAAAAGCACCCAATGAGACTGCCTCCAGGCTCATCCCTGCGACGGACCAGCACCTCATCCTGGACGCCCTCTGCTTTATTCCCTACACTTCCTGGATGGCATCCAGACTCATCCCTGCAACGAACCGGCACCTCATTCTGAATGCCCTCTGCTTTATTCCCTACACTTCCTGGATGGCATCCAGGCTCATCTCTGCGACGGACTGGAACCTCATCCTGGACGCCCTTCTGCTTTATTCCCTACACTTCCTGGATGGCATCCAGGCTCATCTCTGCGACGGACTGGAACCTCATCCTGGACGCCCTTCTGCTTTACTCCCTACATTTCCTGGATGGCATCCAGGCTCAACCCTACAACGGACTGGCACCTCATCCTGGACGCCCTCTGCTTTATTCCCTACCTTCCCTCGATGGCATCCAGGCTTATTGGAGTCCTATATTGGATAAGCAATTACAGAGGATTGATGGATAAATCACTGACATTTCAAATGATTATGCGCTGGTCCTCATTACTGATCTGTCTGTAAAACAAATGCTGAATATCAATACTGCGTGTTTAAAATAACAGCTTAGATTTTCTATTCCTCAGTACTATTTGATCAAAGATGACTTTTTCAGCACCAATGTGAGTGTGTGGCTTTAATTTAATTCCTTTTCTCCCAGCTGAAGCGGCGCTGGCAGGAAGCTGAAAGGCTTCAGTGGAAAACCTGGAATACATCCACCTCCTGATTAATAGGGGAAGATTTTAATCAGCGATGACTCATTTTGAAGAAATATTGTATCATAAATTTCTACAAGATAGCAATATTTGTATGAATGATCGATGGGTTGGGCCCCATGATTTGGACAAAATAGCACCCCATACAGCTGCATACACACACACACACACACACAATCAGAAATGTGTCATCTGAAAATGACATTACTTTAAGACTACATTGTCACTCACTCAGTCATTCACTCACTCTTGGATAATGGCCAACAGATATACTGTTTTTGTCGACCACAAGAAGGCAACAATCAGTTCAGGTTATGAGTTAAAAACTTCTGTCATTCAAGTCCTACTTTCACCACCTGTACTTTCTGTCTTCATAAGCACTTCAATCTAAAGCATCACTATATTTCACTTCCAAGCAGCAGAAATGGTTACTAGTAGATCAAAGTTAGAAGAACGGCACAAGAAAAACACATAATTCTACTTAAGGTCACAGAATATCTGCAGATCACAAGCAGCTCCCATGAGTGAGCTGTCAGTATCGTTCCTGATCCGGATTAGAGGATACTCCCCTACTGAATGCCACAGAGAAGACCGACACAGTCGTTTAATGTTACAGACGCGTGGGTTTACAAGGAAACGGGACCTCTTCGACTTGTAGACAAAAACATTCCAGTTGAGGCAGTGAGGGGACACTCCGATCAAAATGACATTCGGGCCACTCGAATGACAACTGCATTTCAGCTAACCCCTTTCTGTTTCCAATTTTCTGAGTAGCTTAAAGAAAGATGGAGAGAAAGGCCATGTTCCACTTCTATATGGGAAGCTCCCATTTCTGTAATTCAAGGCTGAGCACACATACACACACACACATTCGTATGTTTGTGGGGTCTCTCCATTCATTTCTAAGGGGAAAACTCTAATAGTGGCAATGACACCCTAACCCTACCCAGCCCTCACCTAAACCAAAAGTAGCCTAAGAAAATGCACCACTTTTGGCATTTTTAGTTTTTTGATTGCAGTCACAGATTTCTATAAAATTGAGCTTCCTTTTGCACTGATCGAAACTGTGGTCCCCACAAGGTCAAAATAACAAGTCTTTTGGACATTTGGGCCCCACAATGTAATACGTACATGACCCACACACACACACACAAACCAAAGAAATAAAGACTGAAAAAATAAAGAAAACAGCTTGCCTAAGCAAGCTCAATAAACCGCAAAAAGCTTTGTAAAAAAAAAAAAAGAAATCTGTGTCTGTTGTGCCCAGACTGTGCTTCATGTCCACTGTAAGGACAGGCGTCTTTGTTCTTGTGCTATTTGCTTAAACCGAAACCGCCTGGCTGGATCTCAGTGCTGTCTGACATAACGCAGGTGTCTGACGGCAAACATGGGAGAAGGGAGCTGTAAACGCCAGCCAATGAGAGCCCTGCCTGTGTGCTCCAACACCTGCACAATATCAAATGGCTAAAAAATAATAATACTAATAATTAGAAAAACTAAGGCAGACATTCGTCACAATGTAGCTCAAAAATCAGAGCATTGTGCTAACAATGCGAGCGTTGAGGATGCACATCCTAGAGAGCACGCTTTAAAATTGCAATTGTTCCCTCTAATGTAAATCGCTCAAGATAAAAGTGTCATATAAATGCAAACAATACAAAGGGCCAATCAGCAACTACTTCATTGGACAAACAAACCACCCAGAATGCCAGAGTAAAATAAACATGACTGAGAGCCTATTTGAAATACAGCTTTCATATTCATTCATTCATCCAGGACTCATTTGCAAAGAAGCAATGAGAAGCGGGTGTAACTTTCAGAGCAAAGCACTGGCTTTTGATGTAGATGCAGACGCACCAGGGTCCCTCACCTTCCCACCGGTGTGGCTGCGTGTTAAAGGCTGCCGAGGTCAGATACGAGTCCCGGCTACTATTTCAGGGAAATGGGGTCTGGAGACTGAAACCCATCTTCTAACACAACAGCACCCTCCACTTTCCCTGCCAGAAGGAAGAACATTCCGGGGCCTTGAGTCGCACACCACGAGAGGATGGGAAATTTGCCAACACCTGCCGCAGACCCAGCTTGGCCTGGTTTCCCCAGAAGTTTTTGGATTGAGCAGTGAATAGGGTCGCTTCAAGATATTAATCAACAAGTACCACCCCCCCCCCCAAAAAAAAAAAACACTAATCACCATTAATAATAGAATTTCAGATATAAAGATTAAGACCAGATTGTTGCTTATATGATTGCATGGCTTCAGAAGGTAGAAGGAGGTGTTTAGAAAGACATTTTAGAAACTTCCAGAAAATCACAAATTAATAACTGCTGAGCATATATGGGGTATTAACTCCTGAAGGAGAAGGGGAAGCGAAGCAGAAACCAAAGGGGTGGCGTGGCCTAGGTAAGGTGAACAACAGCCATCAAAGGGGTGGCGTGGCCTAGGTAAGGTGAACGACAGCTATCAAAGGGGATAACAACAATATTATTATAGTTAAATGTATTAATGGCTTATTATTAATATTAAATTAATAAGAAATCTTTGTTTTTAAATGTATTTTATTATTTAAT